CCTATATAGTATATTTGAGTTATCAATATGGAGTATACTGATGTAAGAATTATTTATTACCCTTAAGAGTTTGGCTGAAGGGAATATATATAGCCAATGATGAGTCATTCAAATATAGTTCAAGTTTCCTTCCAGTCATGTAGATATGAACTTGAAAGGACGGTATTAGTGGGCTAAGAAGGAGAAGTCAGACTATTAAGAGTTAGATTAAGTGATTTTATAAGCCAATGCAGGTAACAATTATAGAAAACACTCTTATAGAAGTAGGAAGAGTTAAAAGAAGCAACTTAAAAAGAGCAACTTAAAAAGAAGTCTTAGAAGGAATCTTAGTATTTGCACATGAAGAGTTCTGTAGACATAGGATTAGCATGTCCCGAGATTAGAGTAAAATAAATATAGACTAGTTTAGAGATGATAGGATAGATCCATAGCTTTAAAGTATCTACTTCATACCTAAGGGGGAGATGATTAGATTAGAAACCAAGTCAAATATTAATAATCAAATAGTGATGTGTTCAGAAAGAGTTATAGTGTTATATCAATCCATTCATACTCTAGTGTATTCCTCAAAGTTCAATCATTACAACATCCTGTTGATGTTTCCAATATCAGAATTGTGTCTATGACCTATGCTCATACACTTCAGGTAGATTCACATCTATGCTCAATTTCCAGAATGAGGGGTAAAGACTTTAGCCCATTGATCTCAATCTTACTCCATAAAGTTATGTATATGAGCCTCATGATATGAACCTATTCATATAAGAACTCATGTCTCATAGTATGTTCAGTCTCATAAATTCATGATTTACTCTCAATGGCAAGCAACATAATGTTACGTCATTCATATTCTTACATCAGATTTCTCGAATGAATCGTGCTTATAATTGTTCACTCTAAGCTTTTTCAGTGATCCCTTTTCAGTTGTGTTAGTGATGGTGATGATAAGAAGTATTCCTAAAGAGCAGGGTGGAAAGTGTTGCTAAACTTGAAAGCTATCAGTCTATCGCTTAAGGCATAGTAGTTCTATTCTTACTTCGTACCCAGATATCTTTGTTTCATGTCAAATAATTTAAGATAGAGTGTGACTAAGTTCAAACTCATATCGTTTATGACTTATGTACTCTAGTCCAGTTTCAAAACTATTAGTATCAATCAATTCCGCCTATGTTAGTAGGCAAGCTCAAAAGTCAAGAGAGGTAGTGCTAGTAACTCTTTTCCCCTCCATTCTCAGTTTAACCATTATTCCAGGACTAATGATCCCAAGGGGGAGATATTGTAACACTCTGAGAATTTCTAAGTTAAGACCCAAACCATTCTTGGATTGCGTATAAGTTCGTACGTGTTTTTATTTAAAAGAAAAATGGTTTAAGGGTTGATTAGAGTCACCACTTAATTTTATAAGAAAAACAAGAAAACTAATTTTCAAAAGATCAAAAGAGAAAATCAATTGAAAATAATATGAGGGGGTTCGGGGTTCATATTAACATTTTAGGAAGGGTTTGAAAAGCACCTAAAACGTCCGCTAACTTGCGGTTATCCATTAATTAAAATATTTGGCTAATTATTTTAAAGAAATAGGCATACTTAATTAAATTAAGAAAATAAACAAACTTAGACTTTAAAACAATCAAGGGGGGAAGGGAAATAAGAAAATATTACTAAGGGCCCATTTGGCCATGCAATATGGTATCATGATATGGAATAATGATATGGTATCATGATATGGAATCATGAGATGAAATTGAAGTTTTGTTTGGACATGCGATATAGAATTTTTGTGTTGTATATTTTCTCATAAACATAAAACTCCTGTAAGTTGTAAAACTATTAAAATAACCCCAATTGTTTATTCAATCTTATCAAATAAACAAAAATTTATAAAATCGCATAATAAATTATTACAAAGAGATTTGTTTCCCACTTAAATAACTGTTTCATCAAACTTAAATTCAATAAAAAAAATTGAACATAAATTGTA